TATGTTCACTTCTACCAGTCCTTTCGATGTTAGGTGAGTTCGAGCGACCTATCCTGCTGGAGGTTTCTCTGACATTCACCTGCCATCATACTTCGTTTTCAGTCTCTGCTAGGAAATGACCCCACCATTTTAAGCACCCTTTTTGCAGCCAGTTACTTTAGTTGGATATTCTAACCCCTCTCTTACAACAACATTTTACATCGGGTCGTACTACTGCGCTGTTAATATTGATCTTATAATCTTAATTTTTGTCGCTTCCAGTTTCCTGTTTTCAGTTGTCCAAGCCACAAGCAAGATGTTTAGAATGTTGAAGATGTATATACCATTTATGACTATTATTCTTCAGTGCAGCGTAAATGCTAAATATTACTATGCTTTGATACAATAAAGTTATGTAGTATATAGTAAATTGGCATATTTCATTAATTTTTTATAGTATACTCATACGGTATTTACATATATGGATCGGTTTTAATATTGATTAATATCCTTATTAGCCTGCTGATAGCGTATAAAATAATACAATCTGCGCTATGCTCTGATAGTAGCAGTAGACTGTTGCACTTTTACGTACTCTGGAAAACAACATTAATAACCTAATGCAAGTATCAATCAGTACTAAAAGCGGTTATACTATGAGCAGTAGATAAAGGTGTCAGTAGCGAAAGCGGTTTAAAGCCTCAGCAGATTCTTTTGAATTTGCGGAACTTTTGCCGCATCGTTCGATTTCCAGTAGCTACGTAACTTTTAATGAAGATTTTGTCCATGCTTTAAGCTTGTTTTCGTTATTGCTTTCATATACTGTTCACAGTGAAAATTATTTTAGTATACTGTCTAATAATTGAAATATTCTAATTTATTATATAGAGGATGTTAATGTAGTAGACTAATATATATCGTACATACCATAACGGTTTGTTGTTAGATAGTTATACAGTATACGAATGTGTAATATATACGATATTAGTAGACTGTTGCTAGTGTTGTCGAAATCATTGTGACAGTGTCGTCTTCACATGGCTCCATACGTTTTCGTTTGGTGCTCTTTGTTACTTTGATATTTGGCAACGTAGATAGTTTCCTCTGAAAATCGATCCCCGTATTTTTCAATTCAGAAGTAGTGTAATTTGTTATGACCGTTATGATTCGGTCTACTGTTTTCGATGTTCTAGGGTCACAGCTCAGGAATATACAGTTTTGCGTTTTCGCAAGATTCGTCGCGCATGGCATCGGCTTCAAAGGACGGCACGTTCAGAGTCTGGAATACGGACATTCAGTACAGCCTTGGCCAGGAACCGTACCTGATCTCTGTCGGTAACTTGGACAATCTCAAAACGGAGCCTGGGGTGTTGTCGCTGTCACCGAACGGTTTCACAGTGGTGATCGCGTGCGGTCGCGAAATCAGGGTGTTCAGAGCGGACACTGGTCAGCTGGTCGAAAATCTGTCGACGGTGCATGAAAGCGCCGTAACAGCTGTCAAGTTCACCAGCGACAACAGCTTATTCATCTCAAGTGGCGATCGCCACGTCCGCCTGTTCCACAACGTCGCCAACTACCAGATCAGCATCGAGAAGGCTACTGAGCAACTGAAGTTCGTCAACGCCGCCGCACACAGGAGCCGACTGCTTGACCAAATAAAGTTGGCAACGCAGCGTCTGTCGGAACTCGGTTGCATGTGAAATTTACAGACTCTGATGGCACCGTGGCTGCCGTTGCAGTTTCAGTTACCCCCCCCCCTCCGGCAAGTTGTTGGTTAGTTCACTTGTTTTACGGCTGACAGCGGCGAAGAGTTGTTTTAAAATCTGTCTGTCTGTCGAACGAAATCCAAGCTTGAATTTTTCTGTTTCTGTTCTTATTCAATTTCCATACTGGTGTAATCGATTTTTGTTTGCCGCCGTAATTATATTAAATGTTTTCATGTTAATAATACGTTGGTTATGTTCTGTTTTAACAGTTGTTCGTTAATAAACTACTGACATAACTGCTACTACTGTTGTGCTGGAATTTGGTCTGATTTCATAGATGTTCTGTTTGATTAACGAAAGGGGTGGTTTTTTGGTGCAGTTACATGACACAGTTTTACGGTGCAGTTTTCTTACAAGGCAATCACCCTTCAGTGAATTGGAGCCCGACACTTCCCGAGTTCAAAACCTACTTCTTGGGCACTTGGCCACAGCCTTTGCCTAACAGAACGTCGTTGAGCAGTGGCAAAACCGTAATCAATGACCACTGATGTCCAGATTGATGATATGGAAGGATGCTCCTATAATATTTCACTGCCGTTTTTAATCGTCATAGTTTATTTAGAAAAACGATTAGTATGCAATACAAAAGGCACAACTGTACAACAGGAACAAATGTTCATAATTTTTGACAATTATTCTATACTCTGTCAATAGAAGTTGGGAGCATCAATTGAATAATGCTTGTCTTCAGCAAATTGTTGCTGATCCACTTGCTTCGTCGATAAACTTTGCTAGCTTAATGTCCCGAGTCGATAAGCCGTTAACGTCATGAGACATTAGTGTAAATTTGACCTACGTAAAAGATGTTATGCTAACTATCGAATACTGTACCACCGCATAAAATTTAACCCATATGGGTTAATATTAACCCGTTATTATTAATTAACCCCAATATGGTGGGTTTATTAGGAAACTTTGATTTCTTTACCGCCAGTAATAGCAGTTAACGGTCATGTATACTTACCGTTACCTTGCTTCTACGTTCGTAAGGGAGCGTTTTATGGTTTCAGAGTATCTCAGCACCTGCGTGCATTAGCGCACCATTTTGCTGGGTCGAACGCAAGCGTGTAAACTCGTTTGTGACATGATCATGCCGCTGAAGAATTTTACCTCTGCATGAAACAATCCATTAGTGCTTTATGCTTCATGACTTTGAGCACCCATACCGTTACATGTACCTCGCATCATTATATTCGCTAGAACAATGTTTTGCTTATCACGGACGATGTATCAACGGCCTGTGCTTCATATTTGCTACTGCATATGCATAAAAACATTCCTAAAAGTTCCCACAGTATGTCAATTGGCACATGACTTCTCTAACCCTGCTCATGAAGCCTCTTTCATTGCTCTAGCGAAGGAAATTATAGGAGATGGGTCCAGCACTGAAGATGTGGCCGCTTAAAATGTTCTCAGACAACTACAAGCAAAAAACACCGTAAAATCTGAAGAGCAGTATTCACAGCTAATGCGTGACTTTGAAAACATTTTACCGTTGAAAGGTATAAAGGAAGCGACCGCAGGTTAACTGCCAAAAATTCACCTACCGTTCTGTATATGCAGAAGAACTCTGGATGATGGTCCATTTTTTCCGCCATAAGAGCAACTCTTGTGAGCACACCAAACGCCTAAACACATAATGCTAAACAAATAATTGAAGGCCTGCCTTAAACATGTCTTGCAATTCTGTAGTTACAGGTACAAACAGATTGTTCGGAGCTGAAAAGTTTTACTCAAAAGCCCACGTTTCAGACAACAGTCATACCGTCTATCACCAGAGGACGCACCTTGCAGTTTATGGATAAACAACTGTCATGTATTTATTTTCTAACCGTAACCGGTATGGGTTAAGATTAAATAATGTTTACAGAAATGCCAGAATATCCTTTGAACGCGTGCCAGGTAAATATTAGGCTTTCTGTGATGCTATAGCGAAAGTTATATCCAAAGTTGCAGGTGTCGTTCAAAAGAGGTTTTCAGTTGGATGTAGGCACGAATTTTTGGATTAAAGTTTAAGTTTACAAATGTTAGTCTGTTTCAAGAAATTTTTATTTAATTATTTAAGCAGTTTAGTTTGGACGCAATCACAGTTGAATCTGAAGCGAGATAGGCAACGATCCTGCATCTTAAGGTTGTGAACCACCTGTGGGTAGGAACAAGTCCGAATTGGTAGTCTTCCCCTTTTTGGATGACGAGCTCTGTTTTAGTGCTATTAAGTATTATAGTGCTACTTTTCAGTGCTCTGTTTCAATTTCAGTGCGATTAGGTAGATCAACTCACATCAAAATTTTCATAAACAACGGTTCTAATCTGCAGAAAATCAACATCCTGAATCAATCACTGTCCACAGAGCTGCTAGACCCGTGTGAAATACGGACAAACCTTGTGGAGGCATATCTGCTTGCACAGATGAATAAAACCTATGCTGCGGGGATATTAAAATATTGTTCAATATTAATCTGAAATACTGCATTGAACGTTGCCGTTCTCAGATGACAAGAAAACTATCAGTGGAAAAATTACACTTGAAATTTAACATCACCATGTACCATCAACGGTCGGATGTTTTGAAAATTAAACTCACGCTTTCAGGCACGAGAATCAGATGGGTCATCAGTCTTGTCATATTTTTACACAGAATGTAAGAATGATAGACTCAAATTTGAGGTCCTGAGTTCGAAACCAGATTCAGTCACTCCTTTTTCTTCCTCCCGCAATTGATAGACACAAGAGACTACTGCATAGATGCTGTTGAATCTGCCTTAAAAATAATGCACTCCCGGTTGATGGCATGGTAATGGAGATAAATGCCTCACCATTAACTATACGATAATGGCGTCAGAAATGGCCTTAGCATGAATATGAGGAAATCCGCTATTTTAACTTTCCCTTCCTCTTAGGTATTGAAGAAAATGTGCTAGTCTGTACTACTGGAAGCATAAGCAATGACAGGGGAAGTTCACTATCACATCAGACAGTAGCTATGAACTAACATGATCGTGACCAAAAATCTTACCTCATTAAAATCTTTAAATTTGAACTCCTTAAAAATCGCATCACGGTCAGAAGAAACCTTCCAGCCGGAGTCAATCAATGGCTCAAGGAAGGTCCTTCGTTCCGCATCGCTGAGCTTTGGCTTAAAGCAAGTTTAAGTCATGCACTTTATGCGAGAACAAAATTACGATACCATTTTTCGATGGAGGCAGCTGATGTGCGAGTTCTTAAGCATTAATGAAAAACATTTTTGTACCATTGATTAAACAGATTGAAAAACAATAAAAATAAAATAAATGAATAAATAAACAAATAAAAAACGACATAAAGCTCGGAATCATCACCGCTGTCTGAGAGTATAGTTTATTCAACGATTGAACGGAGATCTCAAACGGTGCAGCAATATTTTCATGTAAGGTATGAAACAGACATCAGCAACTGTACAACGCGATTCTTTTCAACAAAACAATGCCAAATCAAATGAACAGTGCTATTTCTGCTAAGTAAAAATTACAAGATACAAAAATCGCTTCCTCAGCGTAACAACATATACAGCATTAAATCACGTAAACATTCAAAGAAAATACAATGTAGTATACAATAAAATAAGGCCTGCATAACAACGAAAACAACCTCGGATAAACACGAAAACGTTCAACAACTGCAGTAGTAAGTATTGGCGATATTCTGAAAAATTTAAACTATACAATGCTGCTGGTGGCGGGTTTGTTCGCTTGAACTCGAGCATAGTCAACCGGAAAGCCGTTGCCAAGAAATCCGCCGTTGGAAGGAGCTGTATCTCGAACTAAATCAAATTCTGCGTATTTCAGACCTTCGTGCATGTAGTGAACATTCGGTTCGTATCCTTTGGCTTGGCTTCTCTAAAAATGCATCATTAAACCTGACTATCGAAACGTAGTTACATATGCCAAAACAGATTTAACGTTTTAACCTACTATTTTAAAAGAATATTACAAGGTATAGAGGAAAAAATAACATGCGTTCCATCCGTCAAGAAGAAGTACTTAATTCATGATTAAAAACTATTTTCTAAGATTCATAACTCAACATCGGAAGCATACTTGATGATCGCGATCCTGATGAACGATTTCATATTACGTACTGTTCGACTGGAAAAACGGACTTTTATCTATTGCTTGTTAGACTCATCTTGATTCAAGGACCAGTGCATATGGCAAATACATTTTTGTTCTATGCAGACTAATAAAAGGAAGCTGTACTGCTTAAGTAAACGAATTACATTTTGAAAAATCTAAAATTAAATCAAAATTTTTAACAGATAAAATTCTAACGCTCTGTTTGCGCCTAAAACTGAAATTTATGCAATGAAGCAAATCTGTGAGACCATGAGAAGTCTTTTCAACGATCAGCGACCCTTAAACGATGGAAGACTGTTCACTGTACAAGGTATGCTTTGATGGACAGGCATAACGTGTTCTTCAGGCGCAGTTACTCAGACAATTTTCAAATTTTGACATTCGTTCATTTTCGTAATCAGCTATTTGCTTCAATTTGAAGGTACAACATCATCAAGAGATCTCATAATGGTTCTATATTGCAAAATCGGTCAAGATTCACGGACTGACTAATAAAATTCACCAGTGTCATATATATATTTAAGGTCTACCACATCGCTTAGCAAGGAGAATCCAGGTTGCAAGTCTCTTGCATTTCATCCCAATCGCCTACGCAGCAGTGTGCAGTTGTGACCTCCCGGTTTGTAGGAAAGTGCGATTCATAACTAAAGTCATTCCGAATACCAGTGCATCTGCTCTCTACCCTCAGACTTAACGCTAC